AGGGCATATTTCTAACCCAATTTGTAAATAAATTAGTGACCAAAAATTATAAAAATGTGTGTTTAAATAATGTGTAGACCCTTGGCTACAAGTGTGTGTAAATTTTTTTTGGATCGGGTCACCCCTTTGGACGCAATACCTCCAAATAGATCGGCAACGTACTAAACCGTACCCAAAATATGAGCGAATGTCAGTTTGCCCTTTCTATACTCGTAATACATATATTTCTACATATGTACATATATCTGAAATTTGTAAATAAAAATAACTAGTGCGTTCATCTCATGCAAGGTATTTGGCCAAGCTTTTGTAACAACACTTTTTATATGAAATGCTATTTATATACAGTTTTAATTAGGAAAAAAAAATTCCGTGAATAAACGCGCGTGCGTGATTAAAAACCTAGGCATCGTGAGCGTGCGTGAACGTGTTTGAAAAAAATATAACAGAACGTGAGTGTGCGTGATTTGTAAAACCATCAACGTGAGCGTGCGTGAACTTGAGCCAAAATCACTCACGCGCCCATCTCTAGATTGAGCTCACTCCATCAGTGCAAAAATGGAGTCTGAGTTTTTAGCTAACTTTTTATGGTAACCCTGCTTCCTTCGTCCTTTGAGGGTATGCTTGGTTAAAAGTTTTGGAGCATCTCCTAAGGCTTGCGAAGCGCCGAAAAGTGTAACTTGACTAGAACACTTTTTTGTATTTCAGTGAAAGTTAGTGTTGTTGGTGTCGTAGCGGGCTAGTTTTCCATGAAATCAAACGTAAGTTTCAACGGGAAGGGAGGAGGGAAATGAAGATACGCTTTGTGCGCTGTGCGGTTGTTTCACAAGCTGGACATACATATTTTTGTTATATCCAAGTCGATTCTATTCGTATACATGTGAAATACGCGGCTTGCCGATCACTGGTATAAATCTTAACTAGGCAAGAGTGACGACGTTATTACGAGGCAGGTGCAGCCCTTCATCTCGTTGCATTCCGAGTACGGCATTCATGGGGTGAGAGATCCCGAAAGTGATGTCAGTTTCTCGGCAAATAACGTTTCAGACCTGTCTGTATAAAGTAGGAGCCAACGGTTTTTTTATGCACGTCTAGATTTTGACTGTTAGTTTGTAAAGATACCACCCCGCATGCTTGGGAGACGAAGCTGCTTCAAGCAAGTGTCAGTTTGTATACTCCCAGCGGGGGGGATACGGTAGCCCTAGTTTACTCAATAATAACAACTCCTGCTGATCCATTATTGGCAGGCTTTTAATTTATAGTCCATTCAGAATGAGTAACTGTTCATTTGTTAAGGCGTTGCAAAATTAGTTATGTAGAGGATATGTACGATATGGAACCTCAGCTGTAAGTCTCTTGCATTCGGACAAAATCTTTTTGGGTTCAAGAAGGGTTTCAAAAGTATTAGAAATTGTCCGCCTAGTCTAGTCTGGATTAGGCTTAATAGCTCCCAAGGTCACATTCGAAGCATTCTGCTAGAGGCTAGGTTTTCGGCAGACCACCAGAATACTTGAGATTGTAGGGGAACCCGGAGAAAGATTTTCGATAACAAGTGGTATACATATCGTCATTGAAAGTACAAAACCGCGCATCGTCGTTGGCTCAAGTCTTATCCATTCGTCCTGCAATATACTAGCCAGAAATGCAATTGCTTTCTAAAGGTGAGAACTACAGGCTACACGCTGTGCGGTCTGTGGAAGTATTGTTGTGTCCAGATATGTTTTCATGCTGTTTTTAATGATAAGCAATTTTCAATCAGAATTCGTGAATTATTATTATTTCGCTCACTTTTTTTATAGAATTACGTGTATTTTGAAAATGAAATTAAGGCAACTCAACATATTTTCGCGTAGTTAAACATATTTTCCTTTTTTTCATTGATTTAGATCGTCGAAGATTGGAAATTCGTCTCGATGGTGTTGGATCGATTCTTCCTTTGGACATTTACGCTCTCGTGTGTCTTCGGCACGTTCGCTATAATCTGTCATCGCCATCATTATATGATACTCGTCAACCGATCGATCGACAGCTCAGCGAAATACCATTGAGGAAGAATAATTTCATGTTGCCGCCAGATATTGTGCGCCAAATTGTTACTTAAGCGCTTTTCTTCTAAGAAAAAATAAAGTACAGTTTGTTAAAGTATCAAGTACTTAGTATGTAAGTGCAGTAAACAGAAACATATTAAAATGTAAAAGCCATAAAAAAAGTTGGCTAAAATTTAGATCGAGAAGGTCAAAAGAACATGTAACTGAATAAATCACATACACAAACAACAAAAAAAGTCGTGAATTATTCTTTACTAAATAAAAACTAACTAGTGACCGACAGCCAAAAAACAAAGCTAGAATGGCATTCATATTCCCAGAGTAAAATTAGGTTCCGGAGTCAAGGTATAGACTTCGTTTTTTTCATATTACTTCTTGACTGCGGCCGCCGCTTTGGAGTAGGGGTTAGAAGTGCGTACTATCTTTCCACTGGGCCTGGGATCGAGCACAATTTCCGACTAACATCAAAAACATAAAGCTTAAAAAAAGAACCAACTTCAAAAATATAAAACAAAAAAGAACTAGAAATCAAAAAAATTTATTTTTAAAACTTAAGTATCTACTTAAGAATTATCAAATTATGTAATTAAACGCTCATATACAACTGTATTTGAAGTTTATGCACACTTTCCGCGTGCCTACAGCTCGGGTGAATACTATTTACCTACGCACTCCTGATGTGGGTATGTATTATCTTCTACTTGCAAGAAGCCATTGTATATTAGCGAATAATTTTCATAAAGTATTTTCTTAATGTATATATGTATGTACATATCTACTTCTTCTTCTTTATTGGTGCTATAACCGCCTAAGCGATTATGTCCGAGTCCAAAATAGCACGGCAGTCGTTTCTGTTCTGTGCCAATTGATATCCATTGGAAATGCCAACCAAGTCCTTCTCCACCTGGTCTTTCCAACGTAGAGGAGGCCTTTCTATTCTTTTGTTACCAGCACTGCGTTGAATACTTTCAGACTTGACCTAGCCGGCGAAGCTCCTGCGGTATTCGCCATCGCCAACGCGTAAAGGTCCGTAAACCTTTCGAAGAATCTTTCTGTCTCCAAGACCATCTTCATAAGTTCGGAAATGCTTCTTTTCATAATGAAAAATATTACAATACTTTAATAAGGTATCCAACAATAAATTGGATTATAAAAATAAACATAAATTTCTGAACTAGATTTTTAAATTGAATCTTTCATAATCTAAATCCGGACTGCCTACTTGTAACAGTCAACAGTGAAGTGGGTGCCAGGACGCTTATGCTCTGAGTGTTTGTGTGCTACAGCAGATACTTAGGGTTATCCTCGTTCACCAGCAGACCCATTCGCTTTGCTTCTCTATCCAATCCCGAGAAGGCAGAACAGACGTAGCCCTTGTTTTTACCGATAATATCGATGTCGCCGGCATACGCCAGCAATTGTACGCTCTTGTAAAGTATTGTGCCTGAGCGGTTCAGTTCTGCGGCTCTTAATATCTTCTCCAACATCAGATTAAAGAAATCACACGAAACCTCGTTTGGTATCAAACGGCTCGGTGAGGAGTTCGTGCTATTGCTTAACGTCATTTTACATAGCCATATTAATGTGTCGTAGGGATACCAAATTCAGTCATCGCGGCATAAAGACAACTTCTTTTCGTGCAGTCGAAAGCGGCTTTGATTTTGACAAATAGCTGGCGTGTGTCGATCCTAATCTTTGGAATCTTTTCCAAGACTTGGAGTATTGCGAAACACGATCTATGGTGGATTCGTCAGGTCTAATGCCACAAGTGAAATACCAATTTTTTACTAAAGAGCTATTGTATATATCAATTTTGATTAAATATTGATGAACTCCCTTGCCACACTGCTCAAATAATCTGAGACTCCGGTACATACACGCGTATAAATTCAATAATAACCTTACTTGTTAGTTTTTTTTATTGATAATTTTACGTATAAGTCTTTCATTGTAAAAAATTAAAAAAGAAAATGGACGAGTATTTGTGTAATGCATGAATACATACATATGTATATACTTGTATAGTATGTAGTTATGTATTTCGAGTAATTACGCTGTCAATTCGATTCTTTCTTCAGACTTCTGATTTATAATTGTATTGGCCTAATAGCCATATGTACATATTTTAGCGAGTATTCATGGCCATGCCAGTGAGTCCAATCAATGCCCTTGCCATATTTGTCCTTACTGTATTTGCCACGTAAGTATTGACCATTCAAGTTGCTGGTAGCAGATAAAAAAACCAAAATTTTTTAATATTCGTGTTATATATTGCATTGAAAAATTAACTTCAAAAAAACTCACCTATCATGGCATGCTTTGTACCACCATGCGCCTGTATACTCCACAGCACAATTACGATCCCACATATCGTGATCCGCATCTTTGGTACTAAATTTTTGGCCCTGACTCGAACGCAATGAATCGCCGGCATTACCTTCGAATTTGCCTAGTACGTTCAATGCATACGCTTCGTGCTCATCACCGATTGCGAAATTTTCATAGCGTGCATAGCGCGACACATTCTCGAAGTCTTCCATCTGCACCCACAGCTCATTGAGGCGCGCATGCGTCAGTCCATGCAAACGTTCCAAGCCGATGAAAAATTCACCATTCCAGTTACCAAATCCTGCCTGATATTCATGCCACTCGCGATTGAAGGAAATGGAACCGTCCTGGCGACGCTGCACCACAATCCAAGCGGGACCACCATTCGCATCCAGCTGGCAGTAGGCGTAGAATGGTTTCAGTCCCGAATCTGGCAGATAAAGTTGATAGATGCCGCTCTTGGCATTAACGCCCGCACTTTCAACCGCTTCTGCGCAAGTCGACGGTAGTGCTGGGCTGGAGTATGGGCACGGTGGCGCATATAAACTTGGCACCAAGGGGGTTTGCGTGCTGGGTAGAGGTATGGCGTTGCCTTTCACTGGCAATTGATTTGAACCGCCAGCGGACGATGTCTCAGCAATGGTGGGTAAGAGGTTTGAACCACCTGCAGAGGATTGCGAATCAGAGCTAGAAGCTGGCAAGTTGCCGCCAATTGCAGACGATGCCGCGTTGAATGCAGGTAAGTTACCAGCGGTTGCAGAAGTTTGTGGACTGCACGCGGGTAGGTTGGCACCAGTCGCCGACGATTGCGAAATTACGCCCGGAAAATGTATGCCGCCAGCGGAGGAGGATTGTGTGGGCGAAGTGGATGCGCCTCCCTCGCCTTGCACGCGCACATCAATCCAATGCGGCGTCGAATTGACCTCTGGTAAACGTTCATCTAATAGCTTTTTTATGTGATCCAATCTGCAAGGAAATAATGTAAGTAAGTAAGTACATACATTGATACATACATACATAAGTAAGTACAGCAGAAACCAGTCAGAAGCAAGCCTTCGCTCAGCGTACACTCACCTCAAATTATATGTGTCCAACAGGAGGTAGACGTTCTCACTTGAAACCTTGAGCTGCGTTACTTGTTTCGCCACATTCCCCAGTAGCGCATCATCGCAGAGTGGTGTAAAAGTCTGGCAGAAAAGAGCAAATTAAAATGTGCAAAAAAAAACCCCAATTCCAGGTGCCGAACAAAGCAAAAAAAAAAAATGCCGGTGCAAACACTTTACCTACCGCATTATTTGGATCCATTGAGAACAGCTGTTCGAAACTGGTTGGCTGTCCACNTGTTACTTGTTTCGCCACATTCCCCAGTAGCGCATCATCGCAGAGTGGTGTAAAAGTCTGGCAGAAAAGACCAAATTAAAATGTGCAAAAAAACCCCAATTACAGGTGCCGAACAAAGCAAAAAAAAAAAAAAAATGCCGGTGCAAACACTTTACCTACCGCATTATTTGGATCCATTGAGAACAGCTGTTCGAAACTGGTTGGCTGTCCAGCTGGTGACGGTCGTGGCGTTGCATCACTCAGTGTCATCAAAAGCAGCAGCAGCAGCAGCGCTGATAAGAAAATCCCACCGCGCTGACGTCCACGCTGAAACTCAAGATGTGCCCACATTCTTATCGCTTTGCTTGTACGTGACTGATGCTGCGCCTATTGTTGCTGGATGGAGATGCTGTTTCGCCACTGGTTGTCGTACAACTGCCGCTTGCGCTAAGTGCGGAGTGGCGCTTTGTACTGCGTCATTTTGGTTTGAATGAGTGAGCAAAAGAGAGCTAAGAAGCTGTATAAGCCGGTGATTTTTTTAGCCAACCGCTTTGTTTGTATTTTGGACAANGATGCTGTTTCGCCACTGGTTGTCGTACAACTGCCGCTTGCGCTAAGTGCGGAGTGGCGCTTTATACTGCGTCATTTTGGTTTGAATGAGTGAGCAAAAGAGAGCTAAGAAGCTTATAAGCCGGTGATTTTTTTAGCCAACCGCTTTGTTTGTATTTTGGACAAACCCGATTTTGTTTCCTCTTTCCAGATCGCGGGGAACAAAGTACTCGTACATATTGTGATGAATACAAAAAGTGCATCTAAAAGCATAAACAAAGATGTATTTTTCTGTTAGCAACTAAATGTTCTTTGCATCTTCGGGGTTTTCACTAATATGGACAAAGCTTTGAATGGCTGCCCTCTTTCAAAATTATTGCTGTCTTTTATTAATCGTCAATATCTTTTATTTTTTCTTAGAGTACTTCAAGAGAAAACTTTTTTCTAACCCTCGGTAAGCGATAGTGCATTTTTCCATGAAAATCGTTTCGTAAAAGGCATCTGCCATTTGGAGGCGGGGTAAAGCTGTAGATTAGATACTCCAATTGGCATATAAAAACATTGTAATATTCACGGTGCCGGCTTTGTATTATATCTTTTTTGTACTCAATTTTACTGGTAATTTATGAAATTTAGGGCTAAATGATATACATATGCACTTGATATGGGAGAACAATTTGTTAAGTTTTAATAAACGCAAGGCTGCCCGATTTTTGATCACTTGGAATAGTGGAAGCATTCAAACGTGAACATATTTCTNAAAATTTGTTAAGTTTTAACAAACGCAAGGCTGCCATATTTTTGATCACTTGGAATAGTGGAAGCATTCAAACGTGAACATATTTCTCTTTCGTATTTCAACGTAAATAAATAAAAAACCAGAGCTTTTTAAAACATCGCCCTGGACAAATCGACGCGAAATTTAATTATTTTTATTAAAAAAAAAAAAAAAAAAAAACTTAAAATCGGTTCATATTTGGGCTCTCAAGATTTATTTGTCCACAGCAACCTTTTTTGCCCCATTGTGCGGCGTATTTGCCCATTGCATCGCATTACAGAGCGAAAAAAAAATCAAATTTTCGATTTCGAAATTATAAGTGGTTCTGTTCTTTCTTTGCTTAAGAAAATGAAGAAGAAATGCAGGTTTCATCTTGTTGAAAAATCGCGGTGATTTTTGCCAATGTTTTATTGGTACCAATGTCACGCAATTTCCTCCACATAAAGAAAAAAANGATTTATTTGTCCACAGCAACCTTTTTTGCCCCATTGTGCGGCGTATTTGCCCATTGCATCGCATTACAGAGCGAAAAAAAAATCAAATTTTCGATTTCGAAATNCAAACTTAAAATCGGTTCATATTTGGGCTCTCAAGATTTATTTGTTCACAGCAACCTTTTTTGCCCCATTGTGCGGCGTATTTGCCCATTGCATCGCATTACAGAGCGAAAAAAAAATCAAATTTTCGATTTCGAAATTATAAGTGGTTCTGTTCTTTCTTTGCTTAAGAAAATGAAGAAGAAATGCAGGTTTCATCTTGTTGAAAAATCGCGGTGATTTTTGCCAATGTTTTATTGGTACCAATGTCACGCAATTTCCTCCACATAAAGAAAAAATGTCGGAAATACTTTGTATACAAAATCGCGTGGTCGGCAAAAAAAAAAAAAAACAAAAATCAACACGATTTTTCAGCAAATTGAAACTTGCGTTTTATTATACAAAAATTTAAATGGATACAAAACTAAATTCACAAAATTTGTCTAGGAAATCTTTAAATAATAAATATAAATATTTTCGCATCGAAAAACGGTTCAATGTGGTCATATAGCGCAACTTTTCGTACTATTAGAATTTCCAAATCGAAAAATAGATTTTTTCGCTCCACTCTAGTGCACATACAAAAATACTCACAATTGTAATTATACAATTAGATGAGTAAACGTTTACTTATTTATAACAAAATACTTACGAACTCACCCTTACCGCATACAGAAAAATCGTTTCTCCTACCACAGGCACAGATCTTCTAAGTGACGGGTTAATCTTCACCATGCATAGAGAGCTCAGTAAGACATCGTCCTTATTCTGGTCGCTCGTGATGGGCCACCTCTTGACGAAACAATAAAAATATTAATTATGATCAATGATAGTAACCAAGTGTAGATACTGACCCTGACCAGCGCGAGACACATGTTCCAGCTCGTAGTTTAAAGATGTTCTAGCCAAAACTTTTTTATTTGTGAGCCATATCACGGTTTGGGCATCCGAGCAAACGATGACAAGTCACCCAGCTCGTCGATATATGCATATCTCTGAATAGCTCTGGCCTTACATCAGCCCCTATTATTCATTACATACCTAGCTGGCCGAATCTGAGATACTACTCACCACCTTGCTATTGGGGGCTTGCATTGGCTCAATATATGCTTGTCGAGGCATCTTTGTTACAGGTTTATGCGATATTGCTCCCCGAAGCTAAATTTTCATAGACAAAATTCTCTAAACGAAAAGCAGTGGGGCCTAAAAAGTATACAACATGAAAAAGTAACACAAGCAACATGTAAAGAGCCAAAGTTGGCAGTATGAGGGGCATGTAGCTAGATGTTGCATGTTCATAGGCAGAACTGCTTTTCTTTTGGAGATTTTTGGCGATCAAATATAAGCGATAGCGAATGTCGAAATCCGGCTGCCGGTACCTATTTTGGCGATTCATTTATCTGCATATGTTTGTCTCCCCTAGGGGTGGCATATTTTGTGGTAAGAAGAGGTAGCTAGGGGGATAGTCCCAAGAGGGTTTTCACTCCTACTTCTACTAGCTAGCACTATGTATATCCAGAGACGGGGCAGTAGCTATAACCCGGACCCAGCCGCTTCCACGAGAGGAGTGTAGTCGCACTTCCGACGGTACATNTATTTTGGCGATTCATTTATCTGCATATGTTTGTCTCCCCTAGGGGTGGCATATTTTGTGGGAAGAAGAGGTAGCTAGGGGGATAGTCCCAAGAGGGTTTTCACTCCTACTTCTACTAGCTAGCACTATGTATATCCAGAGACGGGGCAGTAGCTATAACCCGGACCCAGCCGCTTCCACGAGAGGAGTGGTCGCACTTCCGACGGTACATGCGGGCGGAAGGTTCCGCCTAGGGAGTGATGACCATCAGCCCACCTTTCACCTGATCACCTTACTCAAAATGACCATTAATTAAGTTAAGTAAGACCCAAAGAAATGAAATGAAGGTTTATTATACAAAAACTAAACAATAACTTCATACCGTCTGATTCAAGTAACCCGTAAAGTATTCAACGTAGTTCAGTATTTTCATTCAGACAAAGTATAACAAGACAATTTCTTAAAAAATGCAATTTTTTCACAATCCAAATGCGATACTCAGTCTGCTAGGCGTATCACCTATTTACCAACAATTTGGTCAAGTTTTGAAGGACATCTATTTGGCCACGACAGAGCAAAGAGATACCAAGTAAGAATCATCTAAATGTGCCGAATATTTTACAAGAACTATGGACTCAGAAGCCCTTCGCTGTGATCAACATCGATGTACTTACGCCCATTGAGCGCTATAGAGACCTATTCAATTTTAAACTTTCTCAGCACTGTGCAACTAAGTCAAAACGCACACACTTTTGGAGAGTTTACAATGGAGCAGCTTTTGGATGACATCGCCAGTGAGGCCTATGTGCATATGCTATTTCAATTTCGTGTAGGGAAGGGAGGTACGAACGCCATGCATTGCGACCACAAATGGCAGTGAGAGAACGCAAGTTTTGGGGTTTTCAAATATTTCTCGTATGAGACGAACCTTTAAACCATTTTATCACTCGGTTTTCGTTAGTCATATAAGGAATATGCACTGTCATTCATTGCGCCTCATAGAAAGGTCTTGGTATCCATAAATCTATAACTATACACCTGCCGGTAAGTCCCAAATAGTGAGAGGCTACACACGCCGAACCTTCGCTGAGTATGCACGTATTTTCAATGCCACGCTGCAAAATCCATTTGCTAGTCAGAAAATACCCTTTTTATCATTATGAAGTACGCGGCGCTCTGAAGAATGACAGCATAGATGTTGTGTTACTTTCCCGTATCAAATTTGATGATATTAAATTGAGTTCAACGACTGTGGTGCACCGTACCGACTGGTGTTTGATGGTACCAATGGGAAACCTTTGCCGCCGTTTGATTTATTCACCCAAATAATTGATACCTATGTCAGTTACTTGTTCTGCTGGAAGGATCAGCGGCAGCGATTATACACCGAATACTTTATCAACATTTTGGTCCTCAACATGGTATTTTGGTTAAAAAGGCACCAAAAGGTCAAGTACTCAGAAGTACATTTGCATTACCATTTCATTTGTGGGTGTAATTTTTGGCAGCGCCTAAAATAATTACTTACAAAGTTTTACTGTAAACGCACCCTTAGAACCGGAGATGAAAACTATTGAGGACGTACTAAACCGTGGCATTAAGATAGCTGTGGGCACGAGCGATATATATTGGATTACCCACTTTGCAACTATGTCTTGATATATTAGGAACTCTACAATTTTCACCAACTATACAGAGTTGTTATTGCTGCGGAACTCATTTGACGCACGCTATGCATTTATGGTCTCTGATATGTAGCCCATATACGATCAGCAGCAGAAGTACTTCTCAAAACCCATATTTCGCATTTCGAATATTTTCTATGGAAAGGATATGCCTTTAGCGTTGCCTTAGCCGGTAAATTCGGTTTATCTCGGAACTTTGAATAAATTATTTTTGGTACTTCAGGAAGCTGGGCTACTAAACTTTTGGTAACGTTCCAGCTTTGTAGAGTTGACGGCCATGTATGTAATTACATTGGTAAAATCCCAATAAAAATCCTGGTTTCGAGCCAATGAAGT